AAAGGAAAATATTCACTGCAGGATTTATGGAAATATGATATCTGATGAAATCTCCCACTATATCACAGAATGCAAATATTTAGGTGAAGAAAGAGAAAAAACTCTTAAAAACAACTTCTGGAGACTTTGCAACCCACTGAAGACTCTGAGAACTATTTCAGAAAAGAAAAATATAGCAATAGAACTCTATAATTTCTACAGATCAATTGTAAATAGATTCATACACAAAAGAGGTAGTGAGGAAAGTTTTAGAACAGATGCCTAAATAAATCCCTTTTCAAACAAAGACTCGCGTGCACATGGGGAAAGGGAGAGGAATTACTGTATTGTTTTGTTGTTGTATGGCAAATCCATACAGGGCAATGGGCCCTAATAAAAGCCTTTTTGTTGTTGTATGGCGAATCCATACAGGGCAATGGGCCTTAATAAAAGCCTTTTTGTTGTTGTATGGCGAATCCATACAGGGCAATGGGCCCTAATAAAAGCCTTTTTTGTTGTTGTATGGCGAATCCATACAAGGGCAATGGGCCCTAATAAAAGCCTTTTTGTTGTTGTATGGCGAATCCATACAAGGCAATGGGCCCTAATAAAAGCCTTTTTTGTTGTTGTATGGCGAATCCATACAGGGCAATGGGCCCTAATAAAAGCCTTTTTGTTGTTCTATGGCGAATCCATACAGGGCAATGGGCCCTAATAAAAGCCTTTTTTGTTGTTGTATGGCGAATCCATACAGGGCAATGGGCCCTAATAAAAGCCTTTTTGTTGTTGTATGGCGAATCCATACAGGGCAATGGGCCATAATAAAAGCCTTTTTGTTGTTGTATGGCGAATCCATACAGGGCAATGGGCCCTAATAAAAGCCTTTTTGTTGTGTTGTTGTTGTATTAGCGCGACATCAGTTATGAGAAAATGAAACGTATGATTCTTTTAAAAATTGAATAATATTCTACAGCAGTAGTTAATTGGTTAATTTTTAAAAGAATCATACGCGTCTAAAATAGTTTTAATTTTCCATATAAACCTAATATATATGGCATAGTTTTATTGACATCCCGTCAAAATATAGGCAAAAGTGCACAGTCTGCACTATTTCGGTCAACGACCGAAGAGCCCACGCTAGAAATAAAAGTAAAATTTCTATTTTTCATCACTAAGAAACCTAATATATATTTATGTAATTAGGACATACTACAACATAGCTACAACATCACGAATATAAAAAACAATACATTAAAACCTCACTCTAAAAGATGACACCTAGTTACAAAGCCAATGTGTGTAAACATTTGAAATAAGATATAGTTTAAAAAAAAAAAGCTCTCTCTCAATGTGATATTCAATCCTGGAACCTGATTGGCTAATATTAACTGTGTATTTAACCATTCCATTGTACTAAGGACTCTCTAGGAGTGAGAGAGAAATTAGTGAATTATTAACATATCAGAATTATAAATATATGCAAAATAGTAATATAAACTCATAGACAAAACTTAAGGAAGTTGTACCTTTTAGAATGTATATCGGGATTGAGACAATAACTCAAAAGATATTACAGTGACCTTTATTGAAGAAACAAGAGATAACCAATATACACTCATGGACAAAACTTAAGGAAGTTGTACCTTTCAGCATGTATATCGGGATTGAGACAATAACTCTGAAAGATATTACAGTGACCTTTATTGAAGAAACACGAGATAACCAATATACACTCATGGACAAAACTTAAGGAAGTTGTACCTTTCAGCATGTATATCGGGATTGAGACAATAACTCTGAAAGATATTTCAGTGACCTTTATTGAAGACACACGAGATAACCAATATACACTCATGGACAAAACTTAAGGAAGTTGTACCTTTCAGCACGTATATCGGGATTGAGACAATAACTCTGAAAGATATTACAGTGACCTTTATTGAAGACACACGAGATAACCAAGTGTGAACAGCCTCTGTCTCATTGAAAAAAAATAGACGCGACTGGCGATATCAAAAACTCTTCACTTCCTTAAGTTTTGTCCATGAGTGTAGTCTATCTAATACAGCATATAACCTATCAATAAAAACCCCAATGCTCATTTCTTACTACACAAAAAAAAAAATAAAAAAATAGAGGAACTCTTGACAAAAAAAAACTATTTAAACAAAATATACAGCTAGGTAAGACAGTAAAAAACTATACAGTGTAACCACTTTAATTCAACCGACTAAAAAAAAAAATAGACGACCAGCGATATCAAAGCCTTTCCATTTTCTTAAGTGTTGTCCATGAGTATAAGTGTTGTGTGTGTAGGAGCAGCTAAGCCCGTGGCGGGATCAGTAGAATGAAGTTTGGACTTGATGTTGACATCGGTGACGACAACTTTATCTGTCCTATCAACCAGCGCGTTTCCAACACAGACTTGAGGAGGTTTTGCTGGACCTCTAAATCCCAGCAATCGTGCTATCCAGAAATATAGTCTCTATGGACTTCTATGTATGTATGTATGACTGTATGTATATTTATATATCTCTATATATTATTCTTATTTATTTATATGTATTCACTTATATATATATGTGATGATGAGTTGCTGTCGACTTATCTGTGATGAGATCCTGTCGACTCATGTAATGGGATGAGAATTCCAGTAGCTTTTGTAGAGATCCTGTCGACTACTGAAATAAAAGTTGAAGTCCTGGTAGCTCTTGTTGTACTGTGTTGACCGAGAGGAACAGTCAGGATGTAGAGTTTTCCAGTACCTCTCTGCACCTTGGAAGACCTTTAAAAGTTCTCACAAAATACAGGCAGTCGTGGTCGAGGCAGAGTGGAAAGCTGGGGATATCCACACAAAAAACGAAGACACAGTTGCACTAAGAAAGTTCCGTAAACAGATAAAAGTTGAGCCAGGAGCGAAAGATGGAGACATAGAAGTTTCTTACTCGTCTACATGATAGTTGAGATCGACATAAGGTACGACCGACGTGAGCTGACGCTAAGGGTGAACTAAACTCAACTGACTGAACTGTACTGAGCTGTCAAGCCACTGTAAGGTGATGATTTATAGGTTAAAGACGGGGTGACCTTATGTGACAGGGGCGTTTGAGAAAAGGCGCCTTTACCTGTCCAGGTGTGAGAGGGGTCTCTGCATTCCACCACATGTGACAGTGTGGGTGGCCTGTCGTGGGAATTGTGAATCTACCTGATTTATGAGTTCCATCTTTAGACTGTTGTTTTGGCAATACTATGCTCGATCTCTGCTTTAGCTCAACTCTTAAATCTATTACAGATTTTATTTATTTATCCACTTTGTACAAATTACATTACATAGGGTGATGTAAAGACACAGATTAATCATGCGCATAATTATTTATAGATGTGTTTCTATATACAACATGGCAATCTTGTTATATGTTATCTACACCATATGAGGTTGTTGTTTTAAATTACCATATATATATAGTAATTTTTTAGTTTTGGAAAAAAGAGGAAAAGTAAACTATTAAGAACTACAGCTTTGAATTAATTTTGAGTCGGAGAACAGCAAGCTAATTCTGTATCAAATAGTACAGTTATGAGATCGTTAAACTAAATAACAAATTTTATAAATCTTGACATTCTCATAACGATACTATATTATATAATATATATTTAACCATATTCTACACTATACCTACTACATATATCTCTGTATTCTTAGCTCTCTTCTCTTCAATTACTCTGTAAACTGGCGAATCCTGTATAGGGCGAGAGGTCCTCAAATAAGGCTTTTGTTGTTGTTGTTATATTTAACCTTATATATAATCTTATTTTGAAAATAGAGCAATCCATAAATAAATCTTTAATTAAAAAAGCATATATTGGATCAAAATATCATTTTTTGTCAATATTTCAGTTGGCTGAACGGCAATCTTTTTCAAGGTATTACAAAATATTAATGTATATCAACAACAACAACAATATATATAATCTTATATGAACGATTAAAAAAACAGTTTCAATCTCAATCTCTCTTTAAACACTGTTTAAACTCTCTTTAGACTCTGTACACGCTTGTTCGGTGATACATATTGTAACAACGTATTTATTATTTTATTAACAGAGTATTATTTTTTATATTTTGCTATACTCTGTACACTTCTCTCTTTTGCTTATCTTTTGTTTATCATTCAAAGTTTGTTCGTGTCCGCGGACCCAATCCGACCTAACCTGCCTCTTCCCTAACAGAGATACTGTCCCTAGCCTCTCCAGCCTGGTGATAGTGGTTTTATATATTCCACTTTACGCGGCCATTGGGGCTCAAAAATCATTTATTTTGGTTAGCAGCCCCGTAAATAAAGATATTTTCTCTATAGTTTGTTCATGCCTCAAATAAATTGTTGTCTCATCCTGAAGTTGGTCTACTCCTATTTTTCCACGTGGCAATATACTACAATAGGAAGGATACAGAGAAGATTAGCATGGCCCCTGTGCAAGGATGACACGCAAAATCGTGAAGCGTTCTCTCACTTTAAAAAGTCCGGTGTAAGACTTCCACCATAGCGAGATCCCCTACATTGGACCAGAATACATGTTTGGTGATTTATCAGACAGCTTCAGATGACCATCTATTGGATGATTGAGAATGTACAGCCTACATCACGTTGACTAATTGTCTGACTTCACGTTAGTAATGAGAATTAATTGATTAGATATTAGGACTACAATCAAAGCGCCATACCGTCATATAGTTTCAATGATGATAAACATAATCAAATATGCAAAAGCGTGCATCCACAAGTATTTTCTGAGTCTTGAGATGAGCAGAATTCTTATGAGCTCTTTCACTGTATGGAATAGAATTCTCTCCATCGGCTGGGGAATTTTCCAATCTGATCTTTGTAAGTCTTCTTAGCAACCTAATGGTCTCTTACAAGATTCAAACAACCCCAACAACATCTTACAACAGTTACACAACAACAGACGATCAGTGAGGGGCCGAATAACATTCCAATAACTCCATAAACAAGAATAACCACCAATAGCTCAGTTAGTAAAACGTTAGACTGAAGATCTAAAGGTCCTTGGTTCGATCCCGGGGTTTCAACATGAACAAGAGTAGAAAGAGAGATTCCGCAAAACAAGAGTGAAAAACAACTCACAAAGACACTTTACAACACTTGATCTATTGTGACAATATTCCATGAAACAACTATAGAATAATAAAAAGAAAGAGTGTATTACATCTCAACCATTTTATATTCGAACTATAAAAATCTACTCCCTACTATAACAGCAGAACAATATTTGATCAGAGATCTTCCATTATCAGTCAAAATATGTATCGCACAAATAACTCTTTTCACTGTTTAAAGAAAACCACGCTGAAATATTGAGTTCAACTGATCGAATATGTACATTATGTAATAAAAGAACCGACTCGGAATTCTGGAACACTACATTTTATTCTGTTTAAAGTTAATAAGTGAAAGGGGGAACTACTTTTACAAAAAATTGTATCATATCATCTTGCTCTGGAGGCTCTGTTGTCAAGGATGACAAAGAATAAATCCAATACATTGGTTCTGTATAAGTTTTACAGGGCTGTGTAAGAGAAGAAACACTGAGGAAAGAGAGCCGTATGTAAATAGATATGTAAATGAAGGATGTATGTAAATAGATATGTAAATGAAGGATGTATGTAAATAGATATGTAAATGAACGATGTATGTAAATAGATATGTAAATGAAGGATGTATGTAAATAACTATTTTTTTTTCTGGGCGGTTATATCACCACAGCGAATCCTGTGTAGGACATAGGTCCCCAATGCTTGTTGAAAATAATCCCTGTATTAATATTGAGTTTTCTGTTTTTAATGTGTTGATCTGAGACGTAGTTTGAATTATTAGTTCACACACACACATTTTCTTTATACACCTATCCCTCGATTTACACGGTACTTGTTTTACACGGTTTTCCAAATAAGTTTTTTTTTTTGTTTTTATCGCACTATACTAAATGCTACTGTGATTGAACACATGCGCTGTTTACACATCTCACGAGGAATCCCGAGCTTATGTGCTGACTACATATTTTGACCTGTCAATGCATTTTATTTTTATTTCTGTGTACACCTATCCCCCGATTTACACGTTTTTCTCAGGAACGTATCTACCGTGTAAATCGGGGGATAGGTGTATTTCAACTCGTGTTTTATTAGCGAATCATTATGTTTTAATCTGTAGAAGAACGTTCGTACCCGAAAGCTATAGATTAAAAAGGTTTTTGAAAAAATACTTTGCCCTGAAGGTCTGAAATTTTGACTCAAAATGCTTGTTGTTGTTGTATTAGACCTCAACAATTTCATAAAGCAGTAACATACCAGTAAATAGAAGATCAACATCTCACAGAGACACCATCGTAAAGATAGAGGCCGGCATTTATATTTCTTGAAAATAAAGATACTTCGGCCAGTAAATCTTTTTATTACCTCGACGTTTCGACAAAAAGCTTTTATCCTCGTCAGGAGCAAACAAAATTAAAACATTTGGCAAGGTGTTAAAAATAATTTGCTCCTGACGAGGACAAAAGCTTTTTGTCGAAACGTCGAGGTAATAAAAAGATTTACTGGCCGAAGTATCTTTATTTTCAAGAAACCTTACACTATATCATCTAGACAACTCTCCACGATAACGCAAGAGAGAGGCCCAACAATCCTTAAACTATACCAACAACATCTCAACAACCCCCATACGATAACGGTACATCACACCAGTGTGAAGAGGACCTAGCAACACCATAAATAACAGCAGAAATGTCCCACAATAACTCACAAAGACCATCTCAACAGCAGCACAGAAGCAGAAAGTGATCCATTACAATCTCCCAACAACACTACCAAAGTCCCAACAACACTACCAACAGAGCGACACAATACTACAGCATCATAAGGATGTTTTCCCACCACAATATTATCTTGACAACCCTATACACAGCAAAGAAGCATAAAGAGGGTCCTTACAGCTCCTAATAACACTACCAATCAAGGTACCAACAACACTACCAACCTAGCTACACAGACAGTAACAATACCAACCTAGCTACACAGTGAGCAACAAACCTAGCTACACAGACAGTAACACGAAGAGCGACCAATAAGCAGCTACACTACCAACCTAGCTACACAGTCAGTAACACGAAGAGCGACCAATAAGCAGCTACACAGTCAGTAACACGAAGAGCGACCAATAAGCAGCTACACAGTCAGTAACACGAAGAGCGACCAGTAAGCAGCTACACTACCAACCTAGCTACACAGTCAGTAACACGAAGAGCGACCAATAAGCAGCTACACTACCAACCTAGCTACACAGTCAGTAACACGAAGAGCGACCAATAAGCAGCTACACTACCAACCTAGCTACACAGTCAGTAACACGAAGAGCGACCAATAAGCAGCTACACTACCAACCTAGCTACACAGTCAGTAACACGAAGAGCGACCAATAAGCAGCTACACTACCAACCTAGCTACACAGTCAGTAACAATACCAACCTAGCTACACAGTCAGTAACACGAAGAGCGACCAATAAGCAGCTACACTACCAACCTAGCTACACAGTCAGTAACACGAAGAGCGACCAATAAGCAGCTACACTACCAATCTATCTACACAGTCACTAGTCTCATCAGTGTCACCAATAGGCAGCACCCACCTGGGAATCGTCCACCATGAGCAGCGGCGTGAGCAGCAGCGGCACCGCCAATCCCACCAGCGGCCTCCAGTGGGCCAGGACCCGGCACACCACGGACCTCAGGCGCACGGCTTCCTCCCGCTGGAACTCCTCCATCGGACTGTCTGTCCGTCACGTGGGGTGTGTCGTCACGTGTCGCCGTGTAACACAGTACTCCACTTCTCTCACCTGTTATCTGACTGGACAAACACGGTAGTTGGGGTCATGCTTATGATAAATACCTACAGACAACGCCTGTAACACTTCGTATACATCTTAATTAATAAGTTTTGTACAAAAAGAAACGATACTTCCTACAGGAAATAGAAAAGAAGTACAAACAAGAAATATATAAATATACAGAATTTATAAGATAAATTGGGAATATAACCACAATGGAATTTTAACTGAAATTTATTCAAAATAATAATTTAAAAAAATTGAAATGAAATTTGACACAGTAATAGGTAAAAGGATATACAAGGTGTGTGTCCAATAAATAATAAGACTGGTCAAAAATAAAGAAAAAATAGAATGATTAAAAAAATATATTAGTATTTTTCAAAATAGTCCCCTCCCGCATCTATACATAATTTCCATCTCTTCTCCCATGATTTAAGACATTTAGAAAAGACATCTTTCGGGATGTTCTTCAAGACCTTTTTCGAATCTTCTATGATGGACTCTCTAGTGTCAAATCTCCTTCCTTTTAGAGCCATTTTGAGTTTTGGAAAGAGAAAAAAATCATTTGGAGCTAGGTCTGGGGAATAGGAAGGTTGTTGAAGTATTTGGATGCCGTGTTTAGCCAAATAAGTCAGTACAGATGTAGCGGTGTGTGGTGGTGCATTATCATGATGGATAATCCAATTTTTGGAACTCCACATTTCACTTCTTTTCAGACGAATTGATTCACGTACAAGTCTCATAATGTTTAAATAAGACTCCTTATTGATTGTTTGACCTTCATCTAGATATTCATAATGCACAATTCCCTTTATGTCAAAGAACGTGACCAATAAGACTTTGTTTTTTGACTTGCAAAGTCGGGATTTCTTCGTTCTTGGTTCATCTTTTCCTTTCCACTCCATGGATTGGCGTTTTGTTTCCGGGTCATACCCGTAAACCCATGTCTTGTCTCCAGTTATTACTTTTTCCTTCCAATTAGGGTTTTCTTCCACCATTTCAAGCATTTTTTTGGCAACTTCAACGCGATTCTCCTTTTGTTGGATTGTGAACATTTTAGGGACAAATTTTGAAGGTGTCTTCTTTAACGGCAAGTCTTCTTTAATTATCGATCCAACTAATGATTTTGATATCTCTGTTTCTTCCTCAATGTCCCGTAACCCTATTCGTGGATTTTCTTTTATCAAATTTGAAATTTGGCTCACCTTTTCAGGGTTCCTGTGCAGAATTGGACGTCCAACACGCTTCTCATCTTTCACCGATTCCATTCCATTTTTAAATCGTGAAAACCATCTAAATGTCGTAGGCTTATTTACATTTTCATTTCCAAATGCCTATTTCAACAAATCTAAAGTTTCTGAAGCCGATTTCCCAATTTTGTAGCAAAATTTAATACAAATTCGTTGTTCGAATTTTCTATCCATTACAAATTAGAAGTTGTTATGTAAGGCGTTCTTTTTACAAGCTTACAATTTGTCGACTGCGCGCGCAATCACGTGATGTGATATACTGCAGTGTAGCTGAAGCTTTCTATTTTTTTAATAGACTTTTAAAAATATATATATTTTCATTTTTTCTTTGTTTTTGACCGGTCTCATTATTTATTGGACACACCTTGTAGTTTTGATTTATTCAATGTTTTTTGTTTTTTTTTTAAATTATTATTATCCCTAGTACACGTGGTACAGACCACGATAATCATGGTGGGCAGAAGTAGGCGACTGCTTTTACTGTAAGTGCACCACATGTCTACACATGTGAAAAGCAGTTCGACTTTGTACTTACAAATGTGCCTGAGCCCCGTTTGGTTATACTTGCACTCGCTGGTGGGGTTGGACTTTTGCAAGAATCGGGGTCCATTGGAGCATTTTTTTTAACATAAAAAAGTGCCCAATGCGGGAATCGAATCCGGGTCGTAGCGGTCGAAAACCAACGTTTTAGACCATCCTTCCACCGACATTATATAATACTTCCCTACCAAAGAGCGTCGCGCGCGGTAAAAAAGAACAGATAACCCATAAAATGTGGACAGACCTCTACATCCAAGATGACTCCACCAGAAATCTAAGAAAAATTTCAGTTACCTAGAAACTACTGCTCTCAATGTTTCAAACTATCAAACATGGATTTACCCAACAACAATCCCGACTGGCCATGATGACATTCAGGCAGACTTTGCAAGGGTATTGAAA